TTATTTATGTGTGGGTGTCCCTGACCATCTGCTGGACACACAACCTCCCCTATAGTGAAGAAAGGACCGACTCTCACTGAGTAAAGCTACAAACACACAGAGGTCCTCTCTCAGTCGGCCTTTAAATAAATAATTCAAGCTAAGAGCTGCAGGAGGACAATTTTAAAGAAAGTGTGAAGAATCTCAAACATGTCTCCAGCATCCTCCCTTTCTAATCTTTCCATCCCTTTTATTTCTCATTTCAAACCTTTTTTTGAGTCACTCCTCTTTCTGTTTGACCCCAACTTTCCTCATCCATCTTTTCTTTTAGTGCTGAAACCCCCTCCGTCCACACACACACAGACGTCCTCTCACTATCTGTCCATCATGACGTCGCCTCTTCTTCTGACTTTTGTCTCCTCCTTTTTTGTCCTTTTATTTCAGATAATGATGCACTTTTTGTTGCTTTGCTCTCTCCTCCCAGCAGCTGTTCAGCAACAAATCGCATCACTCTGAGTTTCACACATAAATAAGTGCATCAATGCACATTTGTTTTGTGTCCTATAATTAGAATCATACGTCTTACAATCTTACAATCAATCTTATAAGCACAGCAGCTTTTTAAATGGGACAAATTAAGTCTTGAAGTCTCTTGGTTGATCCCAACAGTGAAAAGTTGTATAATTGTACAATTTAAATAAAAAAAACCCCAGTCTGGTGTGAAACCTAATAATGAATATTTAACAAAGGTTTATGTTTCTCTGTAATGGATCAGTGAGAAAACTTTGATTCTGATGCGTGACGACTAGAGATGTGACGTTCGTGAACGATCCGAGTCKTTTGAACGGCCCTTTACAACGAACGATATGAGCCGAATCGCGGGCAGTAACGAGCCACTTGTAGTTTTATTTCTTTCATTCCTCATAAATTGCTCCCGCTTTGCTTTTTCATGGAAAACAGGCGGAGTTGTGGAGTAACAGAAGCTCACGGTGAAAGGGGGGAGGGGGGTTTCCACTTGACAAACACATGGTTCCACCCACGTGACGGGATTACGTCATTACGTATGGCTATGTAATGACGTATTTCCCTACGTGATGACATAATACGTTCAAAATCGAACGAACGGCTCTATGAAATAAACGGATCCCCAAGATCCGGATCCCTTCAAGAAGCCATTTTTCCCATCTCTAGTGACGACGCCACAAAAGGACTGACTGAAGTTTTATTTATTTTTTGTTAGTGACTGAGTTCTACAAGTATTATCTTTTAAAATGCTATTTATGTATACAAACCTCACTTTTTGGGCAGAAAAACAACATTTATATGATGACTGACTTTTTCACAAATTWAAAAAAAAACGATGCGCTCTGCATGGGGGTTGGATTCAAATAGGTGGGAAAAAGGGAGTTGAATTTCCTACCATCATTTAACTGAGTAAAACTGACCCAGATAAACAAAACAAGAGGCCCGTGGCGATGGACAGATAGGGCTGTGACGTTCATTTCCTTTCAGGTAAACTTGATTCTTCATTTTGGGGCAGAGGAATGTTTGATACTTGTCCTCATGTTATCTTCAACACACATTAATCTGAACAGAYGACTGAAAAAAAGAAACGTGAGTGTGGCAGGCCCTGGCATATGCTCACAAGAAAAAAACTCACACCCATCACAGTAAAAGTGCTTAAGAATTACTTCACAAAGTATTTCCCTTAGCAAAAACTAGTACATGCAAGTATCCTTTAAGTATACTACTTTAAACTAAAAATAAAAGAGTATACTTCCAGTTTACTTTTTATGTACTTATGAGATATACTTTCAAGTTTATCTTACACTATGCTTGTCTTGTACTCAAAATATTCTAAAAGTTTAATTAAACTTAGTCTGTACTAATGTTTAAACTTTTGGCCAAGATAAACTTCAGTAGTACACTTTTCACACAGACTGGTTTATTCAAGATTAAACTAAAAGTATACTTAGATTACTTTCAATATACTTCTGAGTATACTAAAAGTTTAATTAAACTTAGTCTATACTAATGTTTAAACTTTTGGCCAAGATAAACTTTAGTAGTACACTTTTCACACAGACTGGTTTATTCAAGATTAAACTAAAAGTATACTTAGATTACTTTCAATATACTTCCGAGTATACTTTTATAAACTTATTGTGGGCCAATTTAGTCCCAGAAGTATACTTGTTAGTAAATGGCTATGATACTTGTATCAGTGTACATGGTAAATAAAAGTACACTTAGGGAAATAAACTTTTATATACTTTAGTATACTTTATGACATGTAC